CATTATGGTACTGGAAAAAAGACATATAGACCAATGGAACAGAATGAAGATCCCAGAAATAAACCCACACATGTGTAGTCAACTGATATTCAATTTAAAGGGTGCTGAGATCATACAACAAGGAAAGGACAGTCTCTTCAACAAACATTACTGGGAAAACTGGATATCCACATGCAAAAGAATAAAACTGGACCCTTTTCTTATACCATAAACACAAAAATCCACTCTAAATGGATTAAGGACTTAAATGTAAGACCTGAAACTATAAAATGCCTAGAAAAGCTTCAAAACATAGGTCTTGGCAATGATTTCATGAATAAGACACCAGAAGCGCAGGCAACAAAACCAAAAATAAACAAGTGAAACTATGTCAAACTAAAAAGTTCTGCACAGCAAAGGAAATAATCAACAGAGTGAAAAAGAAACCTGTGGAATGGGAGAAAATATTTACAAATCATCTATCCTGCACTTTTGTTCCTCCTCCCTAGATCTCTCCCTGGCCCCGTTCCTCACTTCCTTTTAGGCTTCTGCTTAAGTGTTATCTTTCACTATGCCTTCCTTGATTACTTCTGTAAAACTGGACACTCACACACCCCACACTAATTGTATTCCCTATTGCTTTCCCCTGCTTTATTTTTTAGCTACATAACTGAGCACCTTCTGACATTTTCTATACTTTGCCTATTGATTGGTTTATTTTTGCTATCTCCCACTAGAACTACAGAAGCTTCATACGGGCAGGTAGTTTGTGCCTGTTTATTAGTGTATCCCCAACATTTGGAACAGTGACCAGCACACAGTAGGTGCTCCAAGAATGTTTGATAAATGGATCAATTGAAAATGAATAAAACTGCCCTTCTGTTTTATATTTCAGTGTTGCAAGTTTGATTAGCCTGGGAAAAGCACCTTATACTTCATCAGCTACACATGCACCTCCAAACCAAGCAAGAACCAGACATGAATATCAGGGACCCCACTGCTAGCCCCATCTTTGACATCTTTCTGTGACTTCCACAGAAACAATATACAATCTGTTCTTTTGGAGCTGGCACCACCTCCAGTCCTGAAGGAGCACTAAGCAGCTAAGCTGTAGCACACAGAAAGGGAAACCATGGGTCCTTTAAGCAGGGATGGGGACCGGGGCTTTGGGGAAAAAGACATTTGAAAGCAGAGACCAATGTGAGAGAAACTGTGTTACAAGGGGGAGGGAGACAGATAGCTTTGAAGTTCTGAGAAAAGGACTCAGAAACCAGTCAGGGCAACATCCAACTGGGCTGGTCCTTCTCACAGCCTCAGCAATGTCACGTAGCCCCTCATAGGATGGAACGAGAAGGCACTTCACCTCTGGGGTATTCTTCCCAAAACCTAATCCCAGGGTAACTAACCATGAGAAAACACTAGACAGTTCCACACTGGAGATAGTCTACAGGCTACCTGGCCCAGACTCCTACAATTCTCAGGGTCATGGAAAGCAAAACAAGACTGAGAAGCTTCCACAGGCTAGAGAGGAGACTTCGCAATGCAATGCAGTGTGGTTTCCTGGATGGGATCCTGGGACAGAAAGAGAACATTAATGAGAAAACTGGTACATGAGCTTACATAGTTGCTAAAGCAAAAAGGCCCCAGGGATTACAAACTGAAGAGCAGAAAGGCCTCCTTTGTCTTACAATTTATCTCAAAGACTTGATTGCTTGGGGTCTGTCGGAAGTCACGCTCACATACCTGGCCTTCCGTTTAGCTCCCTGCTAGACCCATTCCTCACTCTATCCAGCAATTTCCTTAACTGTCTTCCTGTCCAGAGCCACAAATATGCTCTCTGCTGTTCTCACTTGTAAAGTCCAATTTTCTTCAGCCCTTAGATGAGAATCAAATCACCAGTTCTCTGGCATCCGCTCAGCCCATCACTTTCAGTAGCTGCCTCATTTCACACTGTGATGGCTGCAAGCAAAACCAAGAAGCACTTCTACTGATGTATCTCAGGACAAACCTGATAGCCATACAAAAATACGTTACAGCAAGTAGGGGAACAGAACTGAAACATATAAATGAGTTTTATCCCAAACTGTCCACACTCTGTCTTCCCCACCCACACCACCACAGGGGACACCAGGATGCACCTGCCTTGCTCTCCTACCGGCCTGAGCATTAAGCCAGACAGCCTCAAGTGGCCACTCCTTCTGGAACCCAAGTGGCTCATCAATGCCATGAAACCAAAAGGGCATGTCTATGTGACACCCACCAATACCTCATGTCCCCCAGCTAGGTCATTTGCATATCAGTGTTCCCAAACCTGGGTCCAGGGACTGCGGGCAGCCTTCACATGCTCCTAAGGGAAGGAATCAGACAAGCACTGAGCACAGTGCAGAGGTTTTGAGGAGACGAGGGGGAGTATGTTGAAGGGAGAGGAGCAGAAGCTACTGGAAAAAGTAAGGTTTTGACTGTGGCCCAGAGAAATGGCCCACCAACAGGTCATAGAAGGACTGAGTCATCAGAGTTTAAGGAGAATTTACAACTTAATCAGATGAAGAAGGATCCTTTCAGGACTGACAACCTCCTTCATGTCTTGCCACATTATCTTTTCTGGGAAGTTTAATATCTGGGACATTTCAATTTCCTGGCCCTCCTCCTAATGTCCTTATCTTGTAACATGGCATAGTATCTGCACAGTTGCTGGAGCTGACACTCTGAGGCTCCGATGTCACTTTCCCTAGGTCACCAGATTACTCAGTCCTACCTCCAGAGTGATTTCCACACTCACCAGCCCCCATGCTAACCACAACTGGCTCTGCCTCCAGCTTAGTCCCTTCCATTGTCACAAGGAACTTTATGAAATCCTGATGACTGGACCACATAGGCCATTTAGGCTCTCCATTTCTTTACATAGGTCTTACCACTGATGCGGCCCCAAGGCTCTTGGCCATCATCTGGGTCTGGCCCTAGCTCTAGCCTCCCTTTTCACACCCAGGGAACCACTCCCCTTTTCCAGGGTGCCTAGCACTCTTCCCTGCTCTGCTCCCTCGGCCAGGAAGGCTGTCTTCTTACTCAAGACCCAGCTCAAAGGTTGTCTGCTATGAGGCCTTCCAGGGCACACCCAGGGGCAGGTAGTAATAATCTCCAGTGTATATGACCCTCTGGAGCACTGTCCTATTTTACTATAACATTTGACTGTCTTACAGTAAACTTTTGAAAGGCAATGACAATGTGCGAGATGCCTGGTGCATTACAGCTGCTCAGTGGATGTTGCTGCATAAATAAATATGGGGGGGGGG